GGGACTCGATCCCGGGACTCCAGGATCATGACCTGAGCCGAAGGCAGTCGCTTAACCAACTGAGCCACCCAGGCGCCCAAGAACAAGATTTCATTCACATTTGCTTCACTTACTTATTTTCCTCTTCATTTCATTCTTCCGGTATATCTCTAGCTCCTCAGAGACTTGTTTTCACAGAGATCAGACATTTCAGAAAGAATATCTCTATCTACTCAGTTCCCTTTTTTTAAGTTTGATGTACCAAATTTTCACAATAGAAGGTTGATTTTCATTTGTAAGCCACTGTGGAGATGCGTCACACTATTTCAGGATAATCTTCTAGGCATATGTGGGGTCCACAATGAGGATTGGGTCACCCATAGTGAGTTGTTTTGGTTGGTGAGTCAGACACATTTAATAAGCCACTTTGGATCACTTGCCTTCACTTGTCTCCAGACAGTTTTGTCCCAGCCCAGGCCACAGGTGAGATGCAGACCAAGCTCATGCACCCACAGACAACCCCTTGCCTCAGGCTTCGCATGGCCCCTGCCCCAGGGCATCTGTGTTGGTGCTGAGGTGTTGGATTGCTGCGGGATTCTGCCAGTGCTGGCCCAACTGTACTGTGGATGTGCAGGGGCCTAAATCCCTGTCAGATGAACCTCTGATGATGGGAAGAAAGTTTCTTCTCCCTCCCTTCTCTTGGTGGGGTGTCCTGAGACACTGTATACAGCCTCCCGGAGGATGCTCCCTGCAGCCAACTTCAAAACGTACCTTGTGTCCCCGCTTCTGCCTTCCCTGCCTCACTCCCTCTTGTCACCGCTCCTATGTTCCCCAGTTTGCACGTCTTGATAAAGTCATAGCACAGAAGCATTTGCCTCTGGATCTGCTTTCTGGGCTAACCCAGGCTAAGACAATGAGTAATTTAATATTTTTTTTCTGATCACGCACAAATACTTCTAAGATGAGGCAGGACTGATACAAACCAAAGGCCATAATAGTATAATGGTGCAAATCATGTCTAACTTGTCAAAATGCTACATGTCCCCCCTGTCCAGATCCCCTTGGCACCCAGCTTCTGTGCACACTGGCAGTGTTCTCCTGCACACACCTGCACTTTCCACCTGAGGCATTTCTCTCAGTCCACACATAAGCCGGGTCAGAATGACAGGGGAGTTCACGTCACTAGGAGCCACCTTCAGCAACCATGGATGGAAGGTGGGGGATAAACACTTTAGCTTTCTTGACTTGGGGGGGTACTGCTCCCTGACTTCTCCAATCAGCATGAGCCTCCCCACCCCACCCCATTCCGTTGCCCACCATACAACCTCCTCAGTACATACTCTTTGTTGGCTTTCCTCTTTCTTGCCTCACTCTCTCCTTCCCAACACCAGCTTGCTGGAACCTCCTCCCAAATAAACCTCTGGTCCTCAAATCCTGGTCTCGGGGTCAGCTTCTGCAAGAATGAATCTAAGGCAGCATCACCGAGGAAGAGGCACTGAAGCTGGATCCTGAGCAGGGGTCAGTGCCCATGGGCAGAGGCATTGGATTGAAAGGCCCTCCATACAGACTGGATGTCAGGACAGAGATAGAAATGGGAAAATAAAGCATGTTTGGAGAGTGGCTGGAGCAGAGTCTTTGTGAGGAAATGGTGCCAGGAAACCATGCTTACGTAATCAGAGTCAGACATGAAAAATCCTTAGTGCTAGACAAAGGAGCCAGAATGAGGAGTTAAGACTTAACTGTGAGTGGGGTATAAGGTGGGGAGAGTGACAGAAAGGTTTCTATCCCCTTCATCTCCCTCCATCCTCACAATAATGGACTGGGGACATGTTATCGTCACCAGATGAAAACTGGACCTATGAAAATTGATCAGGGCTCTGCAGAGACGTTTGCCCTGTGCTGTATGTGCTCCACTCTGACTCCAAGTGAATCTGTCTTTCCTGAGAAGATCCAAGGCGAGTAAAGGAGATAGCAGGATAGAGGCAGGATGGAGAGAGGATGAAGACCAAGGGAGAAAGTGATTTCCAGAAAGCTATGGGAGCTAAATCAGGCACAGAGGACCTCAAGGGAAGAGGAAGGAGATATCTGGATTCTGTCTTTTTCTTATTAGCTTGAGTAATGTTGACCTCTTCTGCAGATGAACTGAGGTGTATCCTTCCCACCATCATGGGACTTAGTGATCACATTTAACTTATTTATAATACATGTGCAAGCATACACACACAACTTTTACTGATGATAATCCTTGGGAAATAAAATTGGAGGGAGAAAAGAATAAAGAGATTTTTTTTTACCTTTTTTTTGTTACATCAAGCTAGAAGAAGAGTAGTAGGATTACAAGTGGCTTTTACTCTCAATTTTATTTTCTGTAATTTAGTGTGTTTTTTTTTTCTCCACTAGAATCTAAGCTCTATGAGGACAGGGACTTTATTTATTTATTTATTTATTTTTTGTTTAGTGCTGTATCCCTAATAGTTATACTGACTAAAAAAGAAGAGATGTTCAAGATATATCTGTAAAAATAAAAGAAATTACAAATGCAATGGATCAATATTACCGTGTAGCTATTGTGGTGAATTGTTTGCTTGTCATATGTTCCTTTGCATTTCTCGCATGCCTGCCATAATACAGAGACTGAAAAGCTAAGAGTTACGTCTCCCAAATGTCCTTGCAGCCAGAGTTGCTGATGTGATTTAGTTTCTGCCAATCTGACACAATCTCATGAGACTGAGTTGAAGCAGCATCATGCAAGACACCCTTCTGCTGATATTAAAACAGTAGGCTATGGGTGGCTCTAGAGCAGAACTCGAGCTTTAGCAAATAAACAGATAGGACAGCTGGTTGAATTTTAATTTCAAATAAGGAAGGGGTAATTCAGGACTCCTACTTAAACACATGAAACCCAGTTAAACTTGAATTTCAGATCAACAACAAATTTTTTAGTCTAAGTATGTTCCGATCATTGTATGGGACACACACTAAAATTTTTTTTGTTGATCTGAAATTCAAATTTAAATGGGCGCCCTGTGTCTTATCTAGCAACATTATTCTGCAGCCAACCCTGATGGCTCTGGTTTTCTGATCCTGGGTGAATTGTACATTTTCCTGGAGCCAATAGCTGCTGGGCCCATTTCTTGATTTTCTACCTTTCTCTTTATGGCAGAGCAGACTCCCCAGGTTTGGCCAATTTTGTTTTGCTCTTTTGATGGCTCAGTCTAGAACCTGCTTCATTAGGCCTTCTAACAATGACGTGAGCACTGCTTTCTTTGTATGAAATCTCTTTCAGCTTAAAATTATGAGAATGGCTTCTGTTATGTATAGCCGAACTCTGATACAGTTTCGAAGATTTAAAAGAAATGAATGTAGAGCTTTTCTTTTCTCATGAATGGAGTCAGAGTAATAGTATCTTTTCTGCAATGAGGTATTTATATAGTTTGGCTGTGGGTCAAAGTTGAAAATAATAACTGTAATAACCATGATTTTTAGCATTTACTTTAAGCAAAGTGTATACCTCGTCTCTATCATCTCAACAGTCTTGCAAGGTAGTAGGTTTCATTAGATGAGGAAACTGAGGCTCCAAAAGATCAGATTTTATGATCAAGATCACATAGCTGTAGATGGAGCTGAGAGTCAATCTCTATTCTACTTTAAAAGCCACAGCTCCTTGGGGTGCCTGGGTGGCTCAGTTGGTTAAGTGTCTGACTCTTGATTTTGGCTAAGGTAATGATCTCAGGATCTTGAGATCAAGCTCCGTGTCAGGCTTCGTGCTGGGCCTGGAGCCTGCTTGAGATTCTCTCTCTCTGCCTCCCTCTATCCCCTCTCAAAAAAAAAAAAGCAAAAAGCCACTGCTCCTCCTGGTTCTTTTCACTAGAGACAAGTAAAACAAGATTAACTCACAGTCTATTAA